TTTATTATGCTCTTTATATTTTTTCTGAGTTGTTATCCAAACACATAAAGTATCCTCCATAGTAGATTTGTAAGAAAAACAAGTTGAATATACTTTTGATGTGATTAAGGATATGTTCAAGATTATGGCAGTTATAGGAAATCAAACTTATGCATGACTCATAAGTTTGATTTCCTATTACTGCCATAATCTTGAACATATCCCTAGTTTTTGAAGGTTGCTTTTCTCCAATAATTTGGTGTCTCTGTTTTTAGGATTTAAAGAAAAAGATTTGTTAAATTAATTGCTTTAATGTCTCCTATAACTTTCTAATGTTTTATCTTTATTCATCTTCTTTAAAGCTTATTCAAATTTTGAGTCAGTCAATTTTGTGCTTCCAGTTAAATCTTTTCCCTTGTAACTCTGTCTAAGAATTTTTAAAATTGAGTTTTTATGTTTGATGAATGGATATAATTCTTGCGGTGAATTTTGTTTGCATATAAGTAATATACTTAAATATGAAAATCCATCAAGTTTATAACGCTCGAGATAAACTGAAAAACAAACGTGTTCTTGGAGAGCTACGGAGATTTGCTCTTTCATTGTTACCTTCTTGTAAATTGTTCTTTAGCATTTTAAAAATCATTGAGGCACATCAAAATATCGATTGACAACATACAAGACTATGATTTTTTATATATTTTCAAGCTTCCTCTTGGCTTATATGATTAAAAATTACTTAGCCCTTGTTTTTTAATTGTGTTGGTTCTTCCCTCTACCTCTCTTATTTTATTTGTCTATTTTGAATTTTTCACTAGGTATCGAATATTAATGGTCTAGTGTTAAGCTGGATTCTGCATGACCTGCACATAATCATAATTTCCACGTAACTTTTAAGCCCATATTTTTTTTATTGTTATATGTGACTTTCTCTCGCATACTTCCAGTTCATCTTATTGCCCACGTGCAGCAGAAATTTATGTAATCAATGTAGTCGGTTAAATACTTTGTTTGAATATATGCAACAATTTAAGAGATTATGAATCACCAATTTACCTTGGATATTTCAAGACCAATGGAATAAGTAAAGATATGCTTTAACTTTGCTTTCTTTAACAGGTATAATAAAATGGGTCGAGTAACAAATTACTATAGCACATTAGTTGTGTTTTTCACTATTATAAACATGACCGTTTTTTTCTTGAATGTCTTGTTAGAATTCTTGTTGTTACATGTCCTTATCCTGATCTATTAACTTTTGAGACAGTTTGGAATAAAGTCTGCTGTCTTAAATGCTGAACTGCCGCAAAATTCTCGATCTCACATACTTGAGGTGTGCTATTGTTTTCTTCTATTTCTATCATTCTCTTCAAGCTTTCTCTGTCAGCATAAATCTCCTATGTCCATTCACAACTAATCATGTCCTGAAACTATTCTCATCCATTGCCTTCTTTAGGAATTTAATGCAGGCCTATTTGATTATTTAATTGCGACTGATGAAAATAAGGAGAGAGCTCAAAATAGCAAGGACAAACAGACCAAATCCAAAGGCTCTAACAAACATTTCAGACGGAGGTTGGACACTGAATTTGGGGTTGTCAGAGGAATAGACTTCAAAAATGTTTTTACGGTATTCATATTGGGTACTTTTTCCTTTTCCTTTTGCTGTCTTATGGTATCCGTTTTGCATTTGGACAGTGTTGAAAGGCCTGATGCATGATTTTTATGTTGTTGATCCTAACGGTTTTAAAGAAGCAACTTTTGATTATGAAAGTTCCCTCTTTGATGACTGTCAGGAATATAATGAGATTGGAAACCTATGCCATAAAAGCGGAGGTGTAGTAATATTATATTGATTTGTAGGAGCAATCATCATCAAAACTTGATTTGAGATGCATTCAACACAGTGACGAGTGGTGGGCTCCAATATTTCTTAGAAAATAATTTTTTGTATGCTGACAAAGTTGTTGATGCTAAATTGGAGGTTTACATACTTGTCCTTTTTATCAGTAACTTCAAATATCTGTTGTCAAGTAGTACTTGCCTTACGTCACTGTGTGCATTTTGCCAACTATTAGCCTTGGATAATGTTGATTCTCGAAGGTTGTGTAGAATTATGCGTTCGTATTTTCGTTTTTGGTAAATAGAATCTGAGTGTAATGTAGGAAAATATATTGCAGTGCATTTAACTAATCCCATTCTTCGTGCAGGTGATTAACTTTGACATGCCTCAGAGTCCTGAAGGTTATGTACATAGGGTTGGGCGGACTGGAAGAGCATATAACACCGGTGCATCTGTTTCTCTTGTAAGCGCACCTGTGACCCAATATGAATCAAGACTGTTGAATAATAAAAGATAAACAACTTTCACAAAATCATTCTTGCTCGCAAAAAACCAACTTGGTTGTTTCCTTATTGTTTCTCCCTTCAGTTCTGCTTTTCTGAAATTAATTTTAGTCTTCTAATATGAAGTTTCTATTCGGATTACTAATTCCAATCTAATGAGAATATGCCTCAGGCATTCATGATACTATTTTTGCATCTTAAAAATCTTATATTAGTCTGCCTAACTGCCGACAGGTTTCCCCTGAGGAGGGTAAAATCATTGAGAAAGTTAAGCTAACATTAGGTGACAGCGGAGACATGGATAGCTCAAGCCATATTACACCTTTTCCTTTACTCACGACAAACGCTGTAGAATCTTTACGATACAGAGCTGAGGTAACATATACCATGTTAAATTGGTTAACTGATGTTCTGTTTCTGAGTATACTCTAGGAAAAGGGATTATTCTTTTGTTTTATTTTATTAACACCTCTCATTTGAATACAATATCTAGGAGAATACAGGCTTCTGTCCTAGAAATGCTGGCACATATATGCATCTGTGTTTATAGATGTCTCTTTTTGAGAGCTCAAATGTATACCTAAACACTTGGCATCTATAATATGCTGATTATCCCCATCTAGATCCGACTTAAAACTATTTTATTGTTAGCTTGTTGACTGCAGTAATTTGTTCTGCAATTTTTTTATATAATGAATCTTGTAAGTTGTCTATGGATCACTGGATTTAGATGTTTTATGGTCTACTGCATCTTCCCTTTATTAATTAGTATATGTGTCTCACTTCGATTTTTTAATCATTTTATATCTGAATACACTTTTCTTATTGCGTTGAGGCCATATAAAAGATGTGTACCTTTTCAGGATGTTGTCAAAAGTGTGACGAGATTTGCTGTTAGGGAATCCCGTGCTCAAGATTTAAGAAACGAAATCTTGAATTCAGAAAAGTAAGTATGTACTTTGCAAAGTATTTTATGCTGAAACTGATTACTGTAATGCAATCAAATAAAGTAGGTTCATATTTTTGGGCAGGGCTCGTTGATTTCTTGTTTAGATGCTCACTTGTAGGGCTGATCGTTCTTTGTTCACCATAGCTGCTTTGACTGATGAAAATCTTGTCTTTCAGATTGAAGGCTCATTTTGAAGAGAACCCTAGAGACTTGGGTAGATGCTTTCTTTTATTTCTTGCATTCCAAGAACACTGAGATTGCTAGCTTCTAATTTTTTAATTTTGGTAAAATTGTAGATTTGCTGAAGCATGACAAGTTGTTGAGTAAGCATGCTCCTCCGGCTCATCTTCGTGATGTTCCTGAATACCTCCTTGATCCGACAACTCAAGAAGCAAGCAAGACAGTCAAGCTCACTAGAGCTGCAATGGGGATAGAGAACCGTAAGAGGCCGACTGCTTTCAATAAAGGATTTCGTAAGAGTAAAGACCCACTCAAAACCTTCACTGCTGAGGTATGGAATTTAATTTTCTGATTCCTGTTTGAAATGCGTCTCATGAGTAGTCTAGGCATAGTTACAAGAGAGGAGGGAGGTTGAATTGAGTATGCAATCAATGTTCACAACTTATTTCAAAACTCTTCTAATTTTATGGCACAATATGCACAATGAATAACTTACAAGATAAAGAAATATGCATTGACAAAACCTAAATTAGAATTTTATTATGCTATTTAGTGAGTGATCTAGATCAAAATACATTAAAGATGCACATATACGAGT